GCTTTATGCCACGGAACATCAAAACCTCGAGGGAATGGATAAATTCCTAGACTCCTACAGACTCCCAAGGCTGAGCCAAGAAGACCTGGAATACCTGAACAGACCTATCACCATCAAGGATATTGAAATGGTAATAAAAAGTCTCCCCAAGCACAAAAGTCCTGGCCCGGATGGATTCACTAGTGAATTCTTCCAAATCTTTAAAGAGGACTTACTCCCAATGCTCTTTAAGCTTTTCCACGAAATTGAAATATCAAAAACACTTCCGAACAGTTTCTACGAAGCAAGTATCACACTGATACCAAAAGCAGACAGAGATACCAGAAAGAAAGAGAATTACAGGCCGATATCCCTGATGAACACAGATTCAAAGATCCTCAACAAACTACTAGCAAATAGAATCCAACTACTCATCAAAAAGATCATACACCATGACCAAGTAGGATTCATCCCAGGGATGCAAGGATGGTTTAACATTCAGAAATCAATCAACATAAACTACCATATCAACAAAAGAAAAGATAAAAAGCATATGATCCTATCAATAGATGCAGAGAAAGCATTTGACAAGATCCAGCACCCCTTTATGATGAAAACCCTAGCCAAAATGGGTTTAGAGGGGACCTTCCTCAACATAATTAAAGCCATCTACCACAAGCCTACAGCAAGCATCATCCTCAATGGGGAAAAACTGAGAGCCTTCCCTCTAAGATCAGGGACGAGACAGGGATGCCCACTCTCTCCACTGCTGTTCAATATAGTACTGGAAGTACTTGCAATAGCGATTAGGCAGGAAAAAGATATTAAGGGCATTCAGGTAGGAAAGGAAGAAATCAAGCTCTCACTATTCGCAGATGATATGATACTCTACTTAGAGAACCCAATAACCTCCACCAAAAAAGTCCTAGAAACAATAGACTCGTATAGTAAAGTTGCAGGTTATAAAATCAATACCCAAAAGTCCATGGCTTTCCTATACGCAAACAGTGAGAGAGAAGAAAGCAACATGAAAAAAACAATCCCGTTCACAATTGTGCCCCAGAAAATCAAGTACCTAGGAATCAGCTTAACTAAGGAAGTAAAGGACCTGTACAAAGAAAACTACAAAACGCTACTTCAGGAAATAAAAGAGGACATGAGGAAATGGAAAGATATCCCCTGCTCATGGGTCGGGAGACTTAACATTGTCAAAATGGCAATACTACCGAAAGCATTGTATAAATTCAATGCAATCCCTATAAGATACCCATGACATTCTTCAAAGAAATGGAGCAAACACTCCTGAAATTTATATGGAACAATAAGCCCCCACGAATAGCTAAAGCAATTCTTGGGAAAAAGAAAATGGGAGGAATCAACCTCCCAAACTTCAAACTGTACTACAAAGCAGTAATAATTAAAACAGCATGGTACTGGAACAAAGGCAGAACTGCAGACCAATGGAACAGGGTTGAATACAATGACATCTCCCCTCAATCATATGATCATCTAATCTTTGATAAAGGTGCAAGTAATGTGAAGTGCAGTAAGGAAAGCCTCTTTAATAAATTGTGTTGGCATCACTGGATGGCTACATGCAAAAAAATAGGCTCAGAACTCTGCCTAACACCATGTACAAAAGTAAGATCAAAATGGACTAAAGACCTCAACATCAGACCAGAAACCATAAGGTACATTGAAGATAAAGTTGGCAAAACCCTCCATGACATTGAAGCTAATGGTATCTTCAAAGATGCCACACCACTGGCCGAGCAAGTGAAAACAGAGATAGATAAATGGGACTATCTTAAACTAAGAAGCTTCTGCACCTCCAAAGAAACAGTGACCAAAATACAAAGACAGTCTACAGAATGGGAAAGGATATTCACGAAATACACATCTGACAAGGGGTTGATATCCAGGATATACACAATACTGGTTAAACTCCACAAGAAGAAAACATCCAACCCCATCCAAAAATGGGGCAATAAAATGAACAGAAACTTTCTCAAAGAAGAAATCCGAATGGCAAAAAAGCACATGAGAAAATGCTCTACATCATTAATCATCAGGGAGATGCAGATCAAAACCACAATGAGATACCATCTCACACCTCAGAGACTGGCCCACATTCAAAAGAACAAAAGCAACCGATGCTGGCGTGGATGTGGCGAGAAAGGGACCCTCCTTCACTGTTGGTGGGAATGTCCACTGGTTCAGCCCTTCTGGAAAACAGTATGGACGATTCTCAAAAAATTAGAAATTGATCTCCCATTTGACCCAGCAATACCACTCCTGGGAATATATCCCAGAGAGGCAAAAATGTATAGTCAAAGTGACATCTGCATTTGTTTGTTCATTGCAGCACTCTTTACAATAGCCAGAAACTGGAAGAAACCTGAATGTCCAAGAACAGATGACTGGTTAAAGAACCTTTGGTACATCTACACAATGGAGTACTATGTAGCTGTTAGAAAAGATGAAGTCATGAAATTTACATACAAGTGGTACAATATGGAAAGTATCATGCTAAGCGAAATGAGTCAGAAAGAGAGGGATTGACATAGAAAGATTGCATTCATCTGGGGGATATAAAGTAACAAAGTATGAGATTAATACCCAAGAATAGCTGATATCAGCACCAGGAGGATTACTCCATAACTTAGAGGCCAGCCGGGTATCCTAGAGGAAAGGGCAGTTCAGATAGAGAAGGGAGCACCAAATAAAGGATGTTTGGAGGATCCTCCCAGGAGGGGAGATGCATGTCGAAAGTAGACTATGGACTGAACATGTTTGCCACTCAATTCCTCTTTTGCAGACCACAACACCCAAAAGGAGAGAGAGATCACAGGGGATTGCCCTGCCACAGAGGCAGGGGGGGATGGGGGTACGGGGGTGGGGGGGATATTATCCATGGTGGTGGAAAATGGGCACTGGTGGTTGGATGGGTATCTGATCATTGTATAATTGAAACCAAAGCACAAAAAATTGTAAATCTACAACTGAAAAAAAAATAAAGGGGAAAAAAAAAAGTAGAGACAGAGAATATGGGGAATATTGTCGGCCATGGAGGCAGGGGGAGGGTGGAACAGGCGGATTATACCAGGGATATTGGTGGGGGGGATTGTGCACTGGTGGAGGGATGGGTGTTTGATCATTGTGTGATTGTAACCCAAACATGTATATCACGGTGATTCAATAAAAAAAAAAAAAGTCCTATGTCTAACACAACTTTGTAATCACAGTTTCAATACAATAAAAAAAGAAAACCATCTCAGATGTTGGAATACAAAAAAAGTCTCAAACCCAATTTATAAAGACTTAAATCATATTAAGCACCTTTTCAGATCACAGTGGAATAAAACTAGCCATAAAAATAATAGATATGAAACATGCATCTGTGGAGAATAAAAACATGCCAGTCAACAAGTATTGGGTCAATGAAGAAATCAAAGGTTAAAAAGTCAGTGAAATAAAATTTAAAACCCAGCAATAAAACTAGAGTCAATTATTTTATAACAAAGAACCCACAATTTTTAAGAGAGAAAGGATTATTTCTTCAACAATGCTGCCTGGAGAACTGGAAATCTATATGCAAAAGAATGAAAGTTGACCATTATCTGATACCATACAAAAAATAATTCAAAACATACTAAAGACCAGATAAGACTTCTAACCACAAACTACACAAAAGAAAACCTAGGGTATACATTTTTCAACCTTATCCTCATAGACATGTTTGAGGACATGACTCCAATTGTAAAGAAAAAAGAATAAACAAAAGGAACTAAGTCCATTGAGAAGCGTTGGCAAATTGAACATATAATTACTGAAGGAAAAGGTATTTGCACACCTTATACCAGATAGGCATTAATCTTCAAAATACTCAGAGTGCTCCTAATGGAGTCCAGTGGCAAAGCAGCTGCCCTGCATGCCTTAGGTCTGAGTTCCCTGCACTATGCCACATCCCTGAGTGCTATCCCTGGTTCTGGTCGGTATGGTTCCCTTATAAAATAACAAGTCTCACAATTACCTTGTGCACAACAGTCAAGTGTATGTACAAGCACCATAGCTAAGTATGCAACCCTGGCACACTGTAGCCTGCAGCATCACAAGTGTGTAAAACCTAGTAACCACATTCCTAAAATTGCAACAATGATAACAATATCACAACCAAGAGAGAAATGAAGCAATTTCAAATGGAACATACAAAAAAATTAAGATATATCATAAAAAACCCAACTGTTATGTGTACATGTAAATATAATGCATAATGGAATATTATTCAGTAATACTGAAAGATGAAATCCTGCCACTGGCAACATCACAGATGGATAGAGACCATATTACCTTCATTCACACATACGCTTTATAAAACAAAGGGTAAACTAATTAGAAAAAGTTAAAAATTTTTGAGTTTTAAGTTCTAATCTAATGTATGCGAATCTAATCACTACTGTGATCTTTGAAATACTTTGAAATTGTTTGAATTTATTCATTCAAACAATTTTTTAAGTAATAAGCCAAAAAGAATAGGTGGGCACTGATACGAGAATTAATTTTGTCAAATTCTGTGATTCTGTGCAGCATACTCTATCATTCCATTTCTAGATAGATACCACTAAGCTACTTCAGCTGATAGTTATTAGGGTAAAAAATATAATTAAAAGCAACAACAGGAACTTTAATTTACTGTGTGCTTATTATGTTCCAAGCAGCACCAGAGCATTCTGACCTCACTGATTCACATACATAATAATTTCAGGTAGGTAATATCTTTGTTTTTATATATTAAGATACTGAGACATGAAGATACCATCCAAAGAAATGGCAGAGATAAAACTGAATTCATCCCTGATTCCAAAGTCTTATTAATGTGGAACAAAATAAAAAAGTTCAAGCAATGTGGATGGGTGTATTTACTTTTAATTACATAAAAATACAAACTTATAAGATCTGTAACACTGAAATCACAAAAGGCCAGTTGAATACTTTCTAGTGTACAGCTTCCCAGGACTTACTTTTGATTTACTATGTCGTATGAGGGCAGAGAGTAGTCTATTTGACTCTCCCATCACACCAGCATGATCTTTAGCTTCACACCATTCCACCAAACGCTCCACTAATTTAACATTTTTTCCCAGTTGTTCAGCAGCTTCTGCTATAGGAAAAAGATGAACCACAAATGAATCAATCATTGACAGGCATTAAAGTAAATAACTGGTAAAGAACTAAAAATGTAAAGGAAATTTGTCTAAAAAAAAAGCCACAACAAAACAGTTTTATTTAAACAAAAACAAAGTACTATATACTCATATATATAATAATATACATATACACAATACATATAAAAGATTATCTGTCTTTTTGTATAAATTTGTGGACTTAATATATCCAGGCAAAAAACACCTAATATTGTTTTAGTTTAGTCTGGTTGTAAACCATTATATTCTAAAGTAAAGTAAAGTAAAGTAAAGGCCCTCCCGTCGATCATCGATTTGCTCAAGCGGGCCCAGTAACGTCTCCATTGGAGACTTTGTTGTTACTGTGTCTGGCATATTGAATACTCTCGGTAGCTTGCCGGGCTTTCCGAGAGGGGCGGAGGAATCGAACTCGGGTCGGCCATGTTGGCTGCGTGCAAGGCAGACGCCCTACCCGCTGTGCTATCGCTCAAACTTTTTTTAAAAAAATGTTTTAACAACGTTTATAGAAGAACTGAAAGAAATCAATACAGAGAAAGACTTGGAATTTATAAAGTAAATACATAAAGCATTTCAAAGCATTTCAAAACAAGGAATGGCTTTTGTTGTTATATAAACAAAAAGATGACCTTCCATTCTATAAGTTTTCAAAATTTCTATTGTCATAATGATCTAAAAATAAGATAAAAATTGGTAAGAATACTTAAGTGAATAATTATAATATCAAAAAATGTACAATAATGCACCTTGCGAAAGCATTTCTTTTACCTTGTGCATCTATTAACATTCTTAATGTTCCCAGAAGTTTGAATTGAACTGGTGGCATTTCAGATTTAAGGAATTTTAAAACTGCCTCTGTGACTCCAACTGATAACATCTTTGCTTTATTTACAACTAGAAAGAAAGAGAGAGAGAGAGAGAGAAAGAGAGAGAGAGAGAGATTTAAATGTTGTTATTCTAGAGGGAAAACATTCAATTCAATATGAATTCATTGTGTCTGATTATCTGATTACCATTTGATATTTTTACTACTAAATCATTATTGAAGCATACAATACTGTTTAATGACAACTTCACGAATATGTCATTTCAACACCACACCTCACACCTGCTTTCCTCCAGCAAGGTACAAAAGGCTCCTCCCATTCCACCATCCCTCCCCCTTGTAAGCTCAGCTTTGTTGATCAACTATAAGGTAAAAGGTAAAGGCCCTCCCGTTGATCGTCGATTTGCTTGAGCGGGCCCAGTAACGTCTCCATTGGAGACTTTGTTGTTACTGTGTCTGGCATATTGAATACTCTCGGTAGCTTGCCGGGCTTTCCGAGAGGGGCGGAGGAATCGAACTCGGGTCGGCCATGTTGGCCGCTTGTAAGGCGAACGCCCTACCGCTGTGCTATTGCTCCAGCCCATTGATCAACTATATTGATCAACTATATTCAGTTTTATTCCCTATGGCCATTTATTGCATCCTTATAGTGTCTTTATATACTCCACACATAGAAGAGATCATTCTGTATCAATTGCTTTCCTTTAGTTTACACTCTAGTTCCCCTCTAGTTCCATTCATTATCAGCAAGTAGCATGGTTTTTCCCTCTTCTATACTTGTATACTATTCTATTGTGTGTGTATATATATACAATAGCTTGATCTTGATCTATATTGGGCATTTGGGTTTTTCTCCCCCATATCTTGATTATTGTACTAGGCACTGCAAAGATCACAGGTGTGAATGTATCTTTTCAAATTAATATTTTTGTCTTTGGGGAGTAGATGCCAAGAAGTAGGATACTGGGTCATATAGGAGTTCTACTCTTCCTATTTGAAAAGATCTCCGTATTTGCTTTCCATAGAAGTTGAACTAGACAATTTCTCATTTTAACATTTATTTACATCCATCCTTGACCCATCTGTGTTTACTGTTTTTGTCGTTGCTGCTGTTGTTGTTTTGGGACAGACCTGGTAGTAGTGGGGGCTTATCTTGACTTGAAGCTCAGGCCTACTACACGCTATTTGGCATGCTGTAGTGCTGGCCCAAGACGGTATAGAGTGGGGGTGGGTAGTGCTTGGCCCACAGTAACATAAGGTTGTGGTATGTCCCTGGCATATGACTGGACAGACATGTATGCTCTTACTGGATGCCTGTGGCCAATCTGTCTGTATCGTATGTATGAATTATGAATGATGTTATAAATATCCAAAAGGCTTTTTCAGCAGAAAAGAGGTTCTCTATCCCTGACAGGTAGTGGACAAAGGCAAAGGAACTGGTGTTAGAATATGGTATGCCTGAAACACAGTCACTAGTATCTTTGTAACTTTGTGATACAATACATGGTGATACAATAAAAAAAAATTTTTAAAAATTTCCACCCCTAATATAGACAATATTAATCTGATAGTTGAATCAAGTTAATACTTTGTATCTTCATGTAGTTATTTACCATCAGGAATTTATTTTTAGAAAGTAGAATAAAAGAACAGTTTTAATTATCTTCTGTATTATTTGAATTAATAATGCTATTTCATGGCTCAAAATATTTTAATCCACAAGGCAATATAATAAGGCTATTTTAAAAAGTGATGGATGAGTGAATAAAGAGGTTGTGATAAATATATACACACACACACACATATATATACATATATAATGAAATACTATCCAACTTTAAGATAAAATAATGCAGTTTGCTGTGGGGGTGGAGGGTAACATGTTAATCAAAATAAGTCAGAGGGAAAAGAACAAATACTCTATGATCTCACTTATCTGTGGAATATAGAAGGAAGGAACAAGGAAATAGTATCAAACATGACAAATCCTTGGCCCTGTATTACAAAACTGAACTGCTAAATAAGAATAGGGAAGGGAGGAAGGGGAAGGAAGACCATATTAGAGGTCAGTAATGGAGGGCATTTTGGTGGTGGTAGAGGACAGTAACTTTATATACATATATATATATCTTTATATATATATTTATATATATCAGTAACTTTACATATTTATCGCTGGAGCGATAGCACAGTGGTAGGGCGTTTGCCTTACAAGCGGCCAACATGGCCGACCCGAGTTCAATTCCTCTGCCCCTCTCGGAGAGCCCGGCAAGCTACCGAGAGTATCTCGCCAGCACGGCAGAGCCTGGCAGGCTACCCGTGACGTATTCAATATGCCAAACACAGTAACAACAAGTCTCACGATGGAGACGTTACTGGGCCCGCTCGAGCAAATCGATGAACAACGGTAGGACCGTGACCATAGACTTTAACACTATTGTAACCATCTTATCTCAAATAAATTAAAATTTAAAAAATATTAATTTCCATGTCTGAATACACAAAGAAACACATAAACCGTAAATTGTTCTTTAAAGGATTCTTGAAAAATGTAAATAATTTTGCTTTATTTTCCACACCTCCCATGAAAGATGTACTGTTCCCAAATGACAGACCCCATTTCCTCCCCCCAGGCCTCACCTGGGATGGCCAGGTTTCTGAGCGCACTCAGGGCTGCGTGCTGCACGGTTACGTTTCCATCTTCTACATGTCTGTCTAGTAAATCCATAAGCTTTTCCACAATTCCATTGTCTACCATATGGATACAATTCCCATCTGAACAAAACAAAAAGATTTTTTTCCTCTTTATGATTACCACGTACTTTATTTATTCTTAACTTTTAAAGATTTTATTATTGAATCACTGTGATTTTGACCCTTACAAGCTGTTTATGACTAGGTTTCAGTCATGGTGTTCCAACACCCATCCCTCCACCAGTGTGCATTTCCCAGCACCAGTGTCCCCAGTTTTCCTCTGATCCCTACCCCCACCTCTATGGCAGGCACTTTTCTTCTATCTCTCTCTCTTCTCACTATCCCCCACTCCCTTTTGGGAATTGTCATTTGTAATACAGATACTGAAAGGTTATCCAGTATATTCCTTTGCCTAATTTTAACATTCAGTTCTTTTCCAGCTTTAACATTTAACATTCAGTTCATTTACAGCTAGTCTGTCATCCTGGTCCCATGTCTATCTTACCTCCCTCCACTCCACACACCCTTGTGGTTGATTCCAACCACTGACCTAATCTCTTTTTTCCCTGGCTGTGGATATGTCTTCTACTACATATATTTATATATCACAAATGAGTGCAGTCATTCTATATTTGTCTCTCTCTTTCTGACTCATTTCACTCAACATGATACTCTCCAAGTATTTATAGACAAATTTCATGATTTTGTTTCTCTAAGAGCTGAGTAGTATTCTATTGTATAAATGTGCCATAATTTCTTTATCCATTTGTCTGTTCTTGTGCACCCATGTTGTTTCTATTTTTGAGGAATATCTATATTGTTTTTCAAAAAGACAGAACCAGTCGGCATTGCCACCAACAATGGAGAGTCATTTATCCCCACATCCATGCCAACACGTCAAGAAGTACTTTAATTTCCCTTTATACTAATTATAATGTACCAATTATGTACAGTAGGAAAAATGAAAAAATGGAAAATAAAATGGATTTCAACTCTTTCTACGATTTACAGACTACTTTTGTTTACTGATAAATGTCTAATTATCACATTCTTAATACAGAAAATAATTTGAAAAATCATCAAAAAAGACCAAGAAATGCTCAAACTTTGAGCATGATACTATATCAGAAAAATAATCAGAAACCACAGGTTTAAATATTCACCACTGTATGTTAATAAAAATGATTCAGGGAGGGTGGTAGCAGTAATTTTAGGTGCAATTGGAGAGCACTGGTTGGTAGCAGCCTCAAATGCAATTAGGAGGGATTTCTGTGTGCTTCCTGAAGGCAAATTTAGGGGATGGGGGAGCTGAGATATTCTTTTTAAAAGAATGTAAGAAAAATATGAAAATAATTTGGAACCTCTGCTTTGGATAATGATCATGCTGCGTTATACAAGTGTAAAATTTTAATACTGTGTACTCCATATGCCAAACACAGTAACAAGAAGTCTTACAACGGAGATGTTATTGGGCCTGTTCAAGCAAATCAATGAACAACAGGAGGACAGTGCTACAGTGCTACCTAAAACTTATGTAATGTAATTAATCAATGTTATCACGATCACGATCACGACCACCCTGTTGTTTGTCGATTGCCTCGAGCAGGTGCCAGTAACGTCTTCTTCGTCCTAGCCCTGAGATTTTTTTTTTTTTAAAGTGCCATATTCAAGGCTTTGATGAATGATGAAGTAACAGATAACACCAATTGGGCAAGTGGTGAAGATGACCATGTAGTTGCCAAAGCAGAATATGATTTTACTGCCGTCTCTGAAGAGGAAATTTCTTTCCATGCTGGAGATATGCTAAACTTAGCTCTCAAAGACCAGCAACACAAAGTGCGTGGTTGGCTTCTGGCTAGTCTTGATGGTCAAACAACAGGACTCATACCGGCTAATTATGTCAAAATTCTTGGTAAAAGAAGAGGTAGAAAAATAGTGGAATCCAGTAAATCAATGTTATATCAACAAAAATTTATTTAAAAAACATGAACCAGCAGTATTCATTTATAGTGGAGATGAATTATATCTGTCCATGTTACAGCAACAGTTCTTCAATTTTGTATTGTGGGATTAGCTTTCCCCGAAAGGTCAGATAGGATTTTCTCAATATGTCCAGGGTAGAGTTTTTCCAGTTAAATGTCATCTTGATACCTGGAATTAAGGTCAATTTCTTTCCTTTGTGCCTTAACAATACGTAAATAATGCAGACTGTTTTGTTTTAATAGCAATGAGGGAACTAGCTGGCTGAGGAGAAATTATTTCACAAAGAGTCCTTTGCTCTTCCTAATCAGAGGAAGAGGTTAACCTTCACTCCCTATGCTTTTCCATAATGGAACAAGCAATGACTGTAGAATTAGAAAAAGCGTAGTTTGGAGAACATCACCCTGCTCTAGGTTTACTTGTAAACATGTTTTATCTCATCTCATCTCATTGCATCGCATTGCATCTTTATTCTCAAGTCATTCCCTAATTGTCATGTCAAGTTTTTTGTCTCGTCAGTCCCCTCAGCAACTTTATATATACCAATTTTTCCCCAGCTCAAAGTGGAAGCAGCAAAATTCATTTTCCCCAAATGCACATTATTAAATTTAATTTTCTCTTGCTAAGCCATCTCATGCTGTTTTGATTACAATCTGAGAAGTCCACCATGAAAAAAACACAGAAGGGTAAGAGATTTACTCCTGGTTCTCTATAATTTATGACTGATATTTAAATTATTTTTCAAGAATATAAACGTCTTAAGTTAGTTGTCACTATTTAGAAAGGGGGTACTGTTATAGTAAAGAACAGAATTGGACTTTCAATGATGAATAAAAACATTCAGCTGCTCATTTATAGTGATGTATACTTTAAAATGTTTTTAAAAACCAAAGAAAAAATCAGTAGTACAATCCTGTTTGGGCTGGAGCAGGATTTAAGGCACAGAGGGTAGGGTGTTTGCCTTGCATGCAGCTGACGCAGGTTGGATTCCTCCGCCCCTCTTGGGGAACCCAGCAAGCTACCGAGAGTATCTTGCCCGCACGGCAAAGCCTGGCAAGCTACCTGTGACGTACTTGATATGCCAAACACGGTAACAACAAGTCTCACAATTTGTTGTGAGACGTTACTGGGTCCGTGCAAGCAAATTCATGAACAATGGGAGGACAGTGCTACAATCATGTTTGTCTGAGTTAAAATATTTTCCAATGTTAGAATTTTGGAAACATTTAAAAGAGAAATTATGAAGTATTTATCTCACAATTCTTCTTCAATAATTATGAAAATTTTTTTTAGTTTTAATGTAAGGAACTAATGATTGTTATCACTGGAAGAGAGCTAAAATGGAATTATTAATTACTATAAAATAACTGTTCAAACATGAAATAAAATAAAATATTCTACATTATGTAATATTATATAAATAATATATAGTATAATAAATAATAAGCTACAGATTATAAGAATGAGGTGTTAGGTTGAATAGCAGGTGTCATCAGACTCCAAAAATAAACATGGGGTCTAATATTCTATATTAAATGAAGGATCATTCAGAGTGAACTTTTAAAAGTATGAATTAAGGCCTTCAATACCCATTAAATGAAGAAAATAAGATCATCAGGAAAAGGCCATATCCCCCAGTTTACTAGTCTGAAGTTCAGAGTACTCAAGGAAAATATTTCCTGATCTTTAAACTACTAGAATTCATAGAATTTAGCTGTGTACACAAAATGTGCAATCTGTTGAAAGTCATTAGAAGTATTTAAAATCTGAACAACAGAGTAATATACACAAATACTACACTTGTGAACTGTTCCAGGTTTAGTATATGTAATAGTAAAGAAATAATTTAAATACATAGAACATCTAATTTTAAAAAGAACAAACATGCTTACCATTTCTGGCAAAATTTGCAATTGCCAATGCTCCAGCTAGTTGTAGCTGATGGTTATTTGATGGAATCCAGGACAGGACCTTTTGAAATACATTTCCTTTTCCTCCTTCAAATAACTTCTGCATGGATTCATCTAAAGGGCAAATAAAAAAAATAAGAGGAAAAAAATAATAAGTTACAAACACATATTCGTAAGCAAATATTCAATTGGAAAATTATATATTTCAGAACTGTAATTCACTAAGCGGGGAATATTTATTCTTCTTGTAGTAAAACTGTCATAAAAATTAAAGAGGAGAATTAAAAGTTTTTCTAGGGGTTGGAGAGATAGTACAAAAGGTAGGTGCTTTTTTATGCACGGCTGACCCGGGATCACCAGGAGTGATCCCTGAGTACAGTGCCAAGAGTAAGGCCTGAGTCCCTCTGGGGGTGGCGCCAGAACAAAATAAAACAAAAATTTTATAGTCTAAGTCCTTAATAGAAGTCTAACTTAGCTGCCTCTTCTAGGTAGCAGCTCTTTAAATATTCAAAGATAGTGAAGTTGCCTCTTTACCATACTCATCATATCTGGTTCTCTCCATCATGTGTAAGGTTTCAGAATCAAGACTTAAATGAGACAGAAAGGAAAATGCCTAATCTAGTATTTATGAAAACACTAAAATTTAAAAAATCAACCATGTTCTTTGTTTCAAATAAATTACAACTCACCTCCAAGAAGTAATAAAACCATTAAATCTGAAGCAGTTTTCAGCTCAGCAACGTCATCTTCTTTGTCACTGTCTACTTTCTGTTGAACAATATTTAGCAGACATTCTACCAGACCAGCTTCAACCAACTGTAGTTTAATAGCATCTAAAATATAATGTGAGATAAAATAAATTTGAGATAAACTAGAAATTCTAATATAAAACACTTACTCTCATGAATTTTAGATATGAAAATATATGATTTGGATAGTACTGTCTTCCACGATCTGGGTTTCACAAGGAGAAGCTGGTTGTGCAGCTCAAATATTCAAAAGTTCTTTTTCACATTTCCATTTCAATGTGTCACCTTCCACAACGTTCAGCAGTACCTAAATAAATAAGATCTAAGCTCGAAAGCAAGTGATCTGTTAAAATTAAAAATCTGTTAAAGTTAAGATATATTCATAATGGAGTTTGAACATATACTGAAACATAAAGTTGAACATAGTTATTTTTGAGCTAAAAGTAAATTTCAAACAATTTTTATTTATATGTGTATTAACGGCATTTTCTGAGAAAAGCTAATAAATCTATAACTTTCCAATTTTTAAAAGCCATTTTTTTGGGGGGTCATATCTGGTAATGGTCAGGGGTTATTCCTGACTCTATACTCAGAAATCACTCTTGCTGGTGCTCAGAGAACCATATGGACTGACAAACCATAGGTATTGACTCTGTATGTATTATCGTTCCAGCCCCTAAAAGCTGTATTTTTTTTCAAAGAATTTCATTAATTAGAAGCTGGCCTAAGTAACTGATATATAATTATATATCATTATTATATATCAATACAATTTCCATATCTAAATATACTTTTTTAAAGTTTAATATAATAAAATTAAAAAATAACTAAAAGCTCCTGGATGAGAACAAAATAAAGAGACAAAAAGCAATTATATCTTTATAGCAAACTTTATTTTCAGAGTCTTTTTTTTTTTGTTGGTAACTACTAATATCTTAAATACCCTGTAGCACTGTTCTCCTGTTGTTCATCGATTTGCTCAAGCGGGCACCAGTAATGTCTAACAACAAATTGTGAGACTTGTGGTTACTGTGTTTGGCATATTGAATACATCACGGGGAGCTTGCCAGGCTTTGCTGTGCAGGTGAGATACTCTCGTAGCTTGCTGGGCTCTCAGAGAGGGGCGGAGGAATCGAACCCGGCTCGGCCATATTGGCCGCGTGCAAGGCAAATGCCTTACCTGCTGTGCTATCGCTCCAGCCCCTAAATTATAAAAATTTTATCAGTGGAAAGCGTTTATCTGCATTCCTGTTTTCTCCATTACAGAAGATATTATACCTCCTATTCATTTTTGTGGGCTGGAGCGATAGCACAGCGGTAGGGCGTTTGCCTTGCACGCAGCCAACATGGACGACCTGAGTTCGATTCCTCCGCCCCTCTCGGAGAGCCCGGCAAGCTACTGAGTATCTCGCCCACATGGCAGAGCCTGACAAGGTACCCGTGATGTATTCAATATGCCAAACACAGTAACAACAAAGTCTCTAATGGAGACGTTACTGGGCCCGCTCGAGCAAATCGATGAACAACGGGAGGACAGTGACAGTGACAGTGATTCATTTTTGTATTTTAATCTAAATGATCTAACTAAATGCTCTAAGATAAAACACTGATCAAATGACCTTAGAAATACATTAGCTTTATAGAAAAAATTTAAAATTTAAGTTTGATTCTGTTAGGTTTTATTTAGTAATTCAGTAATATCTTAAGCTACATATACAAATATATAGCAGTCGCTATTTTTTCACCTTTTTATTTGGGACAAATTATAAATACTTAAGATATTTTCAGTATGGTGGTTTTTATTATGCAAAAATTATATTTTCTGTCATTAGAACCAGAATTTCTTTAAAACAGTACTTAATAATAAACAAAATATTTGACCTAAAATATATATATATTTTTTTGCTTTTTGTGTCACAACCGGCGATGCTTGGGGGTTACTCCTGACTCATGCACTCAGGAATTTCTCCTGGTGGTAGTCGGGGGACCATATGGGATGCTGGGAATCGAACTTGGGTCAGCCATGTTGGCTGCGTGCAAGGCAAATGCCCTACCCGCTGTGCTATCACTCCAGCCCCCTAAAATATTTTTTAAGGCACACTTACACCATGCTTTGCTGAAAACAGGGAGTTTCCTTGGTTATAGAATGCTATAGGGCAAACACAACTAGAAGCCAAAATTAAAAAGCCTTAAACATATTAACGCCCTGTATTATTCATACTCACCTAAAATGTTGAAATCACTGTTCTGTATACCAATAAAATCAAGAACACTAGCCCAGGAATTAAGCTTTCAAAGGTATTAGAGGAGAAGATGGTAATGGAGAAAACAGAAAACAAATAAAAATACTGCAAGGAGTATGACAGAATTTAATTCTATAACAAAAGGTTGACTAAATGCCACATTCTGCAAAGAAAAATTCTAACATATATATTTACTATACCATTTGTGTTTGAGGCATTTATCTTTACCAACTCCATTGCAACTCCATTTGCACATATGTATATGCACTTAATCACTGTCACTGTCCTCCCATTGTTCATGTTGTTCATGGATTTGCTCGAGAGGGCCCAGTAACGACTCCATTGTGAGACTTGTTGTTACTGTGTCTGGCATATCGAATACGTCATGGGTAGCTTGCCAGACTTTGCCGTGCAGGTGAGATACTCTTGGTAGCTTGCCGGGCTCTCCGAAAGGGGAGGAGGAATTGAACTCGGGTCGGCCGTGTCTGCTGCGTGCAAGGCAAATGCCCTACCGCTGTGCTATCGCTCCAGCCCTTTTTCAAAATAGTAAAAACTCACAAATATAGAAAACTGCATTTAATAAAAGTTTTATTCATGTGCCTTTGCCATTTGTATTTCTTCCTTGAGGACGTTTTTATCTCTTCTCCCCAGTTTTATGGGATTGGGTTTTATTTTTGCTTGTAAAATTCTACCAGCGCCTAATATATCTTGGGATATTAACTCCTTATCAGATGAGTGTCAGGTAAATAGTTTTTCACATTCTATGGACTGTCTTTATATCCCAGACATTGTTTCCTTTGAGGTACACAAGCTTTTAGTTTAATGTAGTTCCATTTGTTTATCTTTGCTTCACTTGCTTGGCATTTCATCGTTTAAGATACTGTTAGCTTCAATATCATGGACAGTTCCCTACATTTTCCTCTGTGTACCTTACGGATTCACAGCAGCACTATTCACAATAGCCAGAATCTGCAAACAACCCAATGCCCACAGCCCAAGAACAGATGAGTGGGTAACAAAACATCTACACAATGAAACACTAATCAGGCATTAGGACAACAAAGTCATAAAATTTGCTTACATGGATGGAGATGGAGAGTATCCTGTGGAGTGAAATGAATCAGAGGATGAGGGAAGTAAAGTGACATGCATGATACCCTTTCAGTAACAGTATTCTACACCACAGTGCTTAAAAGAAAAATAAGAGGGATGGGGAAAGGAAAAGTGTCTGCCATAGAGGCAGGATGTGGTGGGATGGCACGAGGAAAACCTTGACACTGAGCAAGAAAGGTAAACTGGTGAAGGGATGGGTGCCAGAACACTGTATGACTAAAAGTCAATCAAAACAACTTTTTCTTTTTGTCTCATAGTAATTTTATTTTTATTTATTTTTTTTGCTTTTTGGGTCACACCTGGCGATGCACAGGGGTTACTCCTGGCTCTGCACTCAGGAGTCACTCCTGGCGGTGCTCAGGGATGCTGGGAATTGAACCCGGATTGGCCGCGTGCAAGGCAACGCCCCACCCGCTGTGCTATCGCTCCAGCCCCAGTATTTTATTTTTTAAAATAGCAGTTGAGCTTTTTATTAAGCAAATAACCATGTGTGTGCTCAGTACTCATTGCAAACAACCTTGGAACTTCCTTAGTGAATTCATTCCCTTTTACAATCACAAATTCAAATTTCCACCACTTTTGCATTATCAGTGCCATTATTTTTGTAGTAATTATATCTATGCTTTTCTCATTGCTACAACAAAAAATTAGCATTCCTAATCTCAATAAAGAAGAATAACTCCTTATTTAAAGGAGTCCCTGTCTGCTACCAGGATGACAAAATGGTCTCTAAGATACCATGGCACCTACTGAATTGATTAATCCCAAAACACAAGTATGACAGGTGTATCCTAGTGAAAAATTAGTCAGTCAGTGTCACTGTCCTCCCGCTGTTCACTGATTTTGTTTGAGCGGGTCTAGTAACGCCTCCACTGTGACACTAGTTACTGTGTTTGGCATATGAAATATGTCACGTGTAGCTTGCCAGGCATTGCCATGAGGGCGAGATACTCTCGGTAGCTTTCCAGGCTCTCCGAGAAGGCCAGAGGAATCGAACCTGGGTAACCTGGGTTGGCTGCATGCAAGGAAAACACCCTACCACTCCAGCCCCCTAAAAACAATAGACTTATATATTAAAGTCGTAGGCTATAAAGTCAAGACCGCAAACTCCATGGCTTTCCTGTATGCAAAGAATGAGATAGAAGAAAGTGACATGAAAAAAAGCAATCCTTTTCACAATCATGCCTAGAAAATCAAGTACCTAGGAATCAGCTTAACTAAGGAGGTAAAGGACTTGTACAAACAAAACAACAAAACGCTACTTTATGAAATAAAAGAGGGCACAAGGAAATGGAAACACATCCCTTGCTCATGAATTGGGAGAATTAACATTGTCAAAATGGCAATACTACCAAAACATTACACAGATTCAATGTGATCCTGTTAAGGATACCCATGACATTCTTCAATGAAATTGATCAAACTCTCCTAAAATTTATATGGAACAACAAATCCCCACAAATAGCTAAAGCAATTCTTGGGAAAATGAAGATGGGTGGCATCACTTTCTCCAACGTCAAGCTCTACTACAAAGCGATAATAATTAAAACAGCATGGTACTGGAACAAAGGCAGAGCCGAGAACCAATGAACAGGGTTGAATATCCTTACACACACCCTCAAATATCATAGTCACAGTCCTCCCGTAATTCACTGATTTGCTGGAGCGGGCCCAGTAACGTCTCCATCGTGAGACTTGTTGTTACTGTGTTTGGCATATTGAATATGT